ATTTAAGCTACCGTCGTTCTAAGCAAATAAGATGTAAAACATGATAAACATCACATGCAATCAAATAGTGACATGATATGGCCAATATCATTTGCTCCTTTGATCTCCATCTTCGGGGCTCCATGATCATCGTTGTCACCGGCATGACACCATGATCTCCATCATCATGATCTCCATCATCGTATCTTCTTGAAGTTGTCACGTCATCTATTACTTCTACTACTATGGCTAACGCTTTAGCAATAAAGTAAAGTAAATACATGACGTTCATGTTGACACGCAGGTCATAAATAAATAAAGACAACTCCTATGGCTCCTGCCGGTTGTCATACTCATCGACATGCAAGTCGTGATTCCTATTACAAGAACATGATCATCTCATACATCACATATATCATTCATCACATCCTTTGGCCATATCACATCACAAAGCACTTGCTGCAAAAACAAGTTAGACGTCCTCTAATTGTTGTTGCAAGTTTTTTACGTGGTTGCTATAGGATTCTAGCAAGAACGTTTCTTACCTACGCCAAAACCACAACGTGAATTGCCAATTTCTATTTACCCTTCATAAGGACCCTGTTCATCGAATCCGATCCGACTAAAGTGGGAGAGACAGACACCCGCCAGCCACCTTATGCAACTAGTGCATGTCAGTCGGTGGAACCGGTCTCACGTAAGCGTACGTGTAAGGTTGGTCCGGGCCGCTTCATCCCACGATGCCGCCGAATCAAGATAAGACTAGTAACGGCAAGATAATTGACAATATCGACGCCCACAACTACTTTGTGTTCTACTCGTGCATAGTAACTACGCATAGACCTAGCTCTGATACCACTGATGGGGAACGTAGAAGAATTTTAAAATTTTCTACGCATCACCAAGATCTATTTATGGAGTCATCTAGCAACGAGGGAGAGAGGAGTGCATCTACATACCCTTGCAGATCACGAGCGGAAGCGTTCAAGAGAACGGGGTTGATGGAGTCGTACTCGTCGTGATCCAAATCACCGAAGATCCTAGCGCCGAACGGACGGCACCTCCGCGTTCAACACACGTACGGAGCGAGGATGTCTCCTGCGCCTTGATCCAGCAAGGAGGAGGGAGAGGTTGAGGAATAAGGCTCCAACAGCAGCACGACGGCGTGGTGGTGGTGAAGCTGCAGTACTCCGGCAGGGCTTCGCCAAGCTCTTATGAAGGAGGAGATGTGTTGGGGAGGGGAGGGGCTGCGCCTTGGATGTTGTATGCAGCCCTCCCCTCACCCCTCTATTTATAGGGGAAGGGGGAAGGGGGGCGGCCCCCTCTAGATGAGATCTAGAGGGGGGGCGGCGGCCAAGGGGAGGGGGGCTTGCCCCCCAGGCAAGGGGGCGCCCCCCTTAGGGTTTCCCCCAAACCCTAGGCGCATGGGCCCTAGGGGGGTGTGGCACCCCAGCCCACTTGGGCTGGTTACCTTCTCCATACAGCCCATAAGGCCCCCCAGAAGAGGTGGACCCTCCCGGTGGACCCCCGGAACCCCTCCGGTGGCCCCGGTACAATACCGATATGCCCCCGAATTTTTTCGGCGACCGTATGACAACTTCCCATATATAAATCTTTACCTCCGGACCATTCCGGAACTCCTCGTGACGTTCGGGATCTCATCCGGGACTCCGAACAACATTCGGTAATCACATACAAGTCTTCCTAACAACCCTAGCGTCACCGAACCTTAAGTGTGTAGACCCTACGGGTTCGGGAGACATGTAGACATGACCGAGATGACTCTCCGGTTAATAACCAACAGCGGGATCTGGATACCCATGTTGGCTCCCACATGCTCCACGATGATCTCATCGGATGAACCACGATGTCGAGGATTCAATCAATCCGTATACAATTCCCTTTGTCAATCGGTACGTTACTTGCTCGAGACTCGATCGTCGGTATCCCAATACCTTGTTCAGTCTCGTTACCGGCAAGTCACTTTACTCGTACCGTAATGCATGATCCCGTGATCAACCACTTGATCACATTGAGCTCATTATGATGATGCATTACCGAGTGGGCCCAGAGATACCTCTCCGTCATACGGATTGACAAATCCCAGTCTTGATTCGTGCCAACCCAACAGACACTTTCGAAGATACCTGTAATGTACCTTTATAGTCACCCAGTTACGTTGTGATGTTTGGCACACCCAAGGCACTCCTACGGTATCCGGGAGTTGCACAATCTCATGGTCTAAGGAAATGATACTTGACATTCAGAAAAGCTACAGCAAACGAACTATACGATCTTTGAGCTATGCTTAGGATTGGGACTTGTCCATCACATCATTCTCCTAATGATGTGATCCTGTTATCAATGACACCCAATGTCCATAGTTAGGAAACCATGACTATCTTTTGATCAACGAGCTAGTTAACTAGAGGCTCACTAGGGACGTGTTGTGGTCTATGTATTCACACATGTATTACAATTTCCGGATAAGACAATTATAGCATGAACAATAGACAATTATAACAAAGAAATATAATAATAACCATTTTATTATTGCCTATAGGGCATATTTCCAACATCTCGACCATGGCCTCCCCGGGTTCCACCGGTATCACCCGCAGCCGCCGCACCAACCCCTTCGACGGCCCCGATCCCGTTGTCATCCGTGATCTCAATATCCTCGCTCGGGTTCCCGTCGTCCTCGATCAACTCACCTCCACATACTATGCCTGGAAGACGTACTTCTCCCTTGTGTTCCGTGAGTACAATCTCCGGGATCACATCGATGGCTCCGTGGACTCCTGCTTCATGGAGGACGATGAGGAGTGGACGTCCATTGATGCCATTCTTATCCGCTGGTTCTACACCACCATCTCGAAGGACCTCTTCCACACGGTGGTCTCCGCCGATGATGACGCTCACGCCGTTTGGACTAAGCTCAACCGTCTCTTCACCGACAACGCGCTCCAACGCAAGGTTTTCTTGCACGGCGAGTTTTTTGGGTGCCAGCAGCTTGACTCATCGGTCGATGATTATTGCATGCTCCTCAAGAAGCTTGTCGACGAGCTCCGTGACCTCGGCGAGAAGGTCTCCGACGAGCTCCTCCTCAACACTCTCATCGCCGGCCTGAACGAAGACTTCGGGAACGCCGCCTCCAACATCCCTCTCATCACCAACCCGACCTTCCCCAAGATCGTCGCGTACCTGAAGCTGGAGGAGAAGAGGATGCGGATGTCGCGCGCCCGGGCTACCCATACGGCTCTCACCGCCGGAACCCGCCGCGGTGCGCCGCCCACCGCTCCGGCTCCCCCGCCGCGGCCCGCTCAGGGGCCCCTCCACGTGCATCTGCCGCCCGGGTTCCCATATCCCGCGCCGCCGCAGGCCCCTCCGCCGCCCCCCGCCGAGTAGGAGCAGCGCCGGGGCGGGCGTCGCGGCCGAGGTGGCCGCAAGCAGCAGCAGCCGCCGCCAGCTGCCCATGGCGGGGCGCCGCGCCAGCCGCAGCACCCGCTCCCGCCGGCGCCTTGGCAGGCCGGCCAGAACCCCTGGACGGGGGTTGTTCACGCATACTTCATGCCCATACCGCGCGCCCCCGTCCCCGGTGTTTTTGGCGCCCGCCCGGCCCCTCATCAGGCTCTGTACGCGGCCCCTCAGGCGTATCCGCCGGCGCCGCTCTACGGCCCCTCGGCGGCCTATGGGCTGCCTCCGGCCGGTGGGCTCGTGGCGCCGCCGCCACAGCCTCTGCCGTCAGCCCCGGCCCTCCCGCCGGCACCATGGGACCCCGCGCTGCTAGCGGCCCTCCACACCGCCCCCATGCCACAGCAGTACACCCGCGGTGGCGACTGGTACATGGACACCGGAGCCACGACTCACATGACCGCCAACCCCGGTAACCTTCTTATCGCTCACCCTGTTCACACTGCTGCTCGCATTACCGTGGGCGACGGTTCTTCCATGCCCATCACTCATGTCGGCCATGCTACTTTTCCTTCTAACTCCGTTCCACCCAAAAGGAAGGCGGAGCCCGCACTTTTATAGCTGCCCACCCTGTTTTCGCAGCAAAACCCCCCACTCTTCTTCCATCTCGCCGCTCTCCACCCAATTCACATCCTTTTATCCTACCTTCCCTCTCACATCGACGCTTGGAACCGGAGCATAGCCTGCCGGAGTTGGAGGTGGTGGAGGTGCAGGAGGATCCGAGCATCATGTTAGGCCGGAAGATCAACTCGGCGATGCGGCAAAATTGTCGTGTCAAAGTGAAGGCCACAAAGAAGGAGAAGCTCAAGAAGCAAAAGACCGGTGGAGGGCATGCTGGTGGCGGACGTGGCGGTGGGCGTGCTGGTCGCGAACGAGATGGAGGTCGGGGCTCGTGCCGCGGTGCCCCGATAGTGTCGCCCACCGTACATACGCCGCCATGGCTGAAGCATTACAAGGCTCAGTACTTGGACGCTGCCAAGCAGCTTGGTAGGAAGTCCACGACAACATCGTAGTGCAAGTGCCTTACATCACCGACGTAAACGCGGCGCCGCTGCTCTTCTCGGAGTTTTCTTCGCCTCGGCTTGTCCGGATGCGAATGGCGGGCGGGGAGCAGATGAATGCCCGGACTTTACTTGAATTTCAAAATGTCATTTACTGGCAGGCATAGATAAAACTGCATTAGATGGCTGGTTCTCGCATCAGCGTTTGCGGACTGGTCCTTCATTTACGGACATATGCTGGAGCGATGCCCTTATTATTATTCCTTGCGCACAGCTTCAATTGGTGTATATCATTGGTTTGCAAATAAGTTCTGGTCAAGCAACGACGCATGAATAAGAGTAGAATGAACTCTTGATCCGGTGCTCCCCGGAGAAAGAAGGACATCTCAAGAAATAAAAATGCTATGCCACGTTCCATTCCACCACCACTGCCGCCCGGCGATTTGTTTAATGCTCCCCCCGGCCGCGCCGCGCTGTGCGTCACTGGAAAGATAAAGATGGCCCGGTGGCCTGTGGAGGGTGGCTCCCCACCTCGTTGCGCAATGAATGGTGATGATGCGGCTCTCCTTTACTCTTCTTCCTCCACCAGACCACCACTTCCATCCTCTGCTCTGGTGGTTTCCTGTTCCGTTCCGGGAGAGTTCTTCTTTGACAGGGAGCGGCGGCCGCCATGGCGAAGGAGACCGAGTACTACGACGCGCTCGGCGTCAGCCCCGCCGCCTCGGACGACGAGATCCGCAAGGCCTACTACATCAAGGTCCCCCTTTTACCTGCCTGCCTAGCGCATTGTTGTCGCTTTCCGCTAGCTTGCTGATTTGGAGGTTTTGTTTCCTGTCTTGTCTTCAGGCGAGGCAGGTGCATCCTGACAAAAACCCCGACGATCCGCAGGCGTCCGACAAGTTTCAGGTTCTTGCTACGTCTGGCTCGACTCAACTCGATATTGTAGCAGGATCGGTTGCTTTGATTTCTTTAGTGGGTGGGTGTTGAGCTTCTTGTTGTTATGGTGCTATATATGTAGGCTCTTGGAGAGGCCTACCAGGTCCTGAGTGACCCTTTGCAGAGAAAGGCCTACGACGGCTATGGCAAGACCAGCATATCCAGGTGTCTGCCTGCCCCAGTTGATCCAACCCCAGATGAAACACAGCTCGGAAGCAGCAATTCAAGCTTCACTCTGACAACATTTTTCTGCTTTTCAGGGACAACATTCTAGATGGTGCTCTGGTCTTCACCCTCCTGTTCGGGAGCGAGCTGTTCGAGGACTACATTGGGCATCTTGCAATGGCAACCATGGCTTCCTCAGAGATGGCCAGCGGCGACAACGGCAGCGCCGAGAAGCTCCAGGACAGGCTCAAGGTAGGCACATACGTATCTGTGGTAGACGCCCACTGTTTTGCCCAAACCATTTTGTATCCCACTCTGAAAAACACTGCTCTGATGAAGGGTGTACAAAGGGAACGAGAAGAGAAGCTAGCTAGATTCCTCAATAAATTCCTCTCGCAGTATGTGAGTGGTGACACGGAAGGATTCGCTCATCGTGCCGAATCTGAGGCGAAAAGGCTTTCCAGCACTTGTCAGTATGATGATCCATACAAACTACAGTTGTGTTCTTCTCTTGATGGGTTTCATCTGAATCTTTGTGAAATGCTTTGCTGCTCACAGCATACGCACTGGACATTCGTCGCACCATCGGATACGTTTACTCCCGACAAGCCGCCAAGGAGCTCGGCAAGAAGGCCATGTACCTGGGAGTTCCATTCCTGACCGAGTGGGTGAGGAACAAGGGCCACCTCTGGAGATCACAGATCACGGCAGCCAAAGGTGAAAACTTCCCCAATTGTTGCCATGGCTGTGATGGTTGAAGTTGCCGACTGATTAAGGGGCGAAAAGAACAATGCAGGAGCTCTGCAGCTGCTGCAGCTGCAAGAGGAGGCGTGCCGGCAGAGCGCCAAGGACGGCGGCGCTGCCACCGAGAAGGACGTCGACATGCAGATGAGAATGAACAAGGACCTGATGATGAGTTCAATTTGGAAGCTCAACGTTGTGGATATTGAAGTCACGCTCCTACATGTCTGTGAAATGGTATGTGCGTCTTCCTTACTGAAATACTCCCATATTAATCTGTTACTAGTAGTACAACAAAATGATTTGACAAGTTTTTGACTTCTTCACAGGTGCTGCATGAAAATAATGTCAAGAAAGAGGATCTCAAGGCCCGTGCAATGGCCTTGAGAAATCTCGGAAAAATATTTCAGGTACATTTGTTTCACGTTTTCTTTCCGATAATTCCTGTGCTACATGTGTAAATAAACAAACCTGAATTAAGTATATTTCATTTCATAAATTCCATCTTTGATCAACTTGAATGAGAATAGAGGGAAAAGGAGGCATTACCAGGGCCATCAAAGCCAACCATTCTCGACGATGACAGCAGCTCTGATGAAAGTTCAGACGAGGAGGCATCACAGACAGTGACATATCGGACTCCCGCGCTTACTCAGGCAATTTTTCAACAACCATACAAACATATGTATACGTTGCACATTCAAATATGTTTAGTGAGATAAGTTCAAAAATGTTGTTGTACAGGGAATTGGCAGGCTATTTAGATGCTTATGCAACCCTGCATATGATGTTGACGATGACTTCGAACCCCGGAAATGAAGCAGGGACACTACGAAACCTTTCGAAGATACCCGAGTTATACCAGATATATGATTCAGAACAGCTGGGGTCATGCACCACCATCCTTCAGTTACCTGAAGGGTATGGATATATGTTTATATGCTGCTTCAGCACTGGTGATCAGATCCAACAGTTAAAGCTTTAGATTACCCACTTTTCACTCGCATGACCATAGCCTTTGAAATAGACCATACCTGATTGTGCCGTGCTTTCTGTAATTGTTCTATTTTGGTGTTTCTCCGGAAATAATAATACAAAATCTGTTTGTCTTAGATAAAGGGCCCTTTTTATTGACTCATGATCTAGCATGAAGGGGATACAAACAAAAGGCCTGGATGGCGCAAACTGGCAAAAGAAACAGTACCACCAAAATCTAACATTGTAGACGTTGTGATGATACCACACCTCCAACGCAAATGTGTCGGTGGTAAACCTGCCGTATGCATCTCCCAGATGCAGAGGCCGGGGGTCATCCTCCTTTTCTAAAAAAAAACACCACAAGCCTTCACCGCGGGTTTGGCTCCTCTGCTGTTGCGTTAGGGCTACTCTAACCAATTCCCTATATTCGGTTAGGGGAGTAAAAAAACTGATTCGGTTAGGGGAGTAAAAAAACTGTTTTACTCCTCTAACAGGCACCTAGCCCATCCCCAATAGTCATCCTCAGCCATCTCCGCCGCGTCTATTTTTAGTGCCTCGCTCGGCCTTGGAAGAAGAAAAATCACCTCCACTCCGCTGCCTACCCGCCCTGCTCCCGCGCTGCATCTACGTCAGCGTCGTCTCTCCCACCCCCGCCTACCACCGCGGATGCCCGTAGACTCCGCCGCGGTCCTTGACCGCCCGGATTTGTGCCTCTCGACTCGTCGCCGGCGCATAACCGGTAGATCTGAGGCTGCCGCCGCCGGATTTGACGCATCCGCCCACCACCGTTTGCGCCTTTGCCATGGATTGGTCGGATACAGGACCACACAGCCCCGGCAACGCCTCTGCGCCGCATGCAGGTATTGACT